AGTGAAAGTATTAGGAAAATTTCGGAACGGGACTGAACGTTAGGATTTTCACCCCATGGCCTAATAGGCATGGCACAACTCTTTCCGATCAAACTGTAAACCCAATTTGGCCAGAGGAGACCAGATAACAAAGACTACATGGAACGGTATCATAAACCAGACTCCAGGGGTCTATGTATCTACAAGACAACAACACAACCTGATCGCAGCGAGAGCAGAATGTATGATGCTGTCAATGAATGATATACTAACCAGCTGGTGGAGACATTTCCTGGTTATTCCACACCACAAGTATCTTGCTCAAACTAGGTGTTTTTGAAATTTCTTTGATGATCTTGAAAAGGCTCTCAACTCTATTGTAAGTCAGAACAACAGCAGTGAAGCCTTCAGCTTTTGGGGGCATTCGTGGCAAAAAGAATGGGCTGACTGTATTTTCCTGTGACAGGAAAAGGAAGATAATATAATTTACATAAAAAACAATCAATAACGTGTTAACACAATAACTGATGCATCACAATTGATATACACTACTTCAGGCCTTGTGCAATCAGCTCAACCAATTGAGACATTTTGATAGTAATTTACAAAACTATATCTATAAAAATAATGTTAAATAGATAACAATAATAGTAAAGAAACTTGAGTTAGAAACAGTGAATGATATACAGTAAATATAATATAGCCAGGCATAAACTATCGTTTTTATCTCATCAATTCAGCCGAGAATGAAAAGTTGAAACACCAATCAAAAAGGGTGAAGCATCTTCAAACAATGTTTGATAAGACTGCTTGTTTCAGACATTTCATCAAAGAAATCATGTTTTCCATGTCTGTTGAAATCAGATAATGCTTTATATAAAAAATCTGATCCAACAAGAAGATAATAAGTCTGAGAGATAAACATCTTATCATGTCCTGCTACATATAAATCTAAAACTTTCAACTAATTAAGTTTCCATTAAAATAAAAAAAGAAATATTTAACATCCACTTGTAGTCACTTGTAAACTGGGTTTATACTAAAAAAAAAATTCAAACACTTACTCTACTTGGTTCGTTCCAAGAAGCATAGTTTCGTTTTGCATAAGGAAAGATTCTGTCATTGATAATTTGCAGGATAGTCAGCGCAATACGATCCATCGACTTGAAGTAGTTCTCCCAGTAGAACAACACCTGCTTCCTCAT